TCAGGGGTTTCAGGTCGCCGGGATCAGGCGGGTCTCTGCGTCCTCCTCCGGTTAGCTACTCCGAAGGCCGAGCCGTGTCCGTAATAATCTGCCGTGAGTCGTTCCGAGTCTGTTGGACACAGAAGGGACTCTGACGATCAGGCGGGGGCTCCTTTTATAGCTTGGGTGACATGCGGTGATGTGATTGTGAGGCACCTTTCGATAGGCCCATGGCACTGACTGACTGACGCTGGATCCCGCCTTGTAGAAGGTTCTAGCTGCTGTCTATCTTTTACGCTCATGGCAGAAAGGCAACTATAGTCTGCCTAGCAACCGTTACATAACTTTGTATAACTTTTCTGATTGGCGAACATGGCCACTTAACAAACATAATGATCACAACAAGTAGGTTCGGAAGGGACCTGAGCAGATCATCAAGTCCGACCCCCTGCCATGGCAGGAAAAAGTACTGGGGTCAAGTGACCCAAGCAAGGTGTTTGTCTAGCCATATGTCCAGATGTGTTTCCCCCCGTCAAATAGGAACCTTGCTATCAAGGGCTGAATTTGGCCATCTGCATTTGGGAGATCAGGGAGGTGAGCAGGCAGGGAATCTAGAATGCAGTGCTTCACTGAAAGTTAATTCACACCTGAGTTGATGTTCACCCGAGTTAATGTTTGCACCTAGAGTTAAAAACAGTCTGCAGGGCTGTGAAATAGGAGCTACATTATCAGGAGCAGCTAAAAGACAGGAAAATTAAAGAAGAAAAGTTAGCTTTATTAGTGGCATGCCAAGACCATTTAAAAATCAGAAAGGCTTGTGGAATTAAGAGCTTAGAAGGAATCAGGTAGATGATAATGAGCCATGAAGTCAAGTGACTCCCTCACTGCTGCCTGAATAGAAATGCTGCTGCCACTGCCAGGCCCTTTATTTTAAGTCTTGGGTGGAAGAGGAATCAAAGGTGGGAGGTGCAACTGCACCCTTGCATCTCCCAGATCTGCCCCTGTGATAGATAAATATCTATTTTGGTTAGTCTATAACAGAGGTGGGTAAAGTCCGGGCTGTGGAACCTGCATCGCTGTGGCTGTTTTCCATGGAGACCCCAGCAGTGGGGGCACTGGCCAGGGTTTCCATGGAGATCAGCCTCAACAGAGCTGACAAGCCATGCAGCTGGGTGAGGAGCTGCGTCGGGGCTGAGATCTTGCCGTGGTGACACCATGGTCCAGAACTGGGCCAGAGCTGCGATCTGCTGCCTGCACATCCCCAACTAGATCATCTCAGCCAAGGCTTTGTCAAGCAGGGTGTGAAAAACCTCCAACGATGGAGATTCCACCACCTCTCTGGTAACCTGTTTTACTGCCCTCCTAGTGAAAAAGTTTTTCCTAAGATCCAACCTTAACTTCCCTTGCTGCAACTTGAGACCATTGATCCTTGTTCTATTATCTACCACCATTGAGAACAGTCTAGCTCAGGGGTGGGCAATTATTTCAGTTGGAGAGCTGCTAAATGAGTTTTTGTGAGCTGTTGAGGGCCGAAAGGGTAGCCCTGTCCCTTGAAACGTGCCCCGCCCCCTGGCACCATATTGGGACCAGAAGTCCCACCCCTAACCCCTGACCTTTGCCA